GATGGATGGATGGATGGATGGATGATGGATGGATGGATGGATGGATGGATGATGGGTGGATGATGGATGGATGATGGATGGTTGATGGATGGATGATGGATGGATGGATGATGGATGGATGATGGATGGATGGATGGATGGATGATGGATGGATGGTGGATGGATGGATGGATGATGGATGGATGATGGATGGATGATGGATGATGGATGGATGGATAGATGGAATCCATGGATGGATGATGGATGGATGATGGATGGATGGATGATGGATGGATGGATGATGGATGGATGAGGGATGGATGGATGGATGGATGATGGATGGATGGATGATGGATGGATGAGGGATGGATGGATGGATGGATGATGGATGGATGGATGATGGATGGATGAGGGATGGATGGATGGATGGATGATGGATGGATGGATGATGGATGGATGAGGGATGGATGGATGGATGGATGATGGATGGATGGATGATGGATGGATGAGGGATGGATGGATGGATGGATGATGGATGGATGGATGATGGATGGATGAGGGATGGATGGATGGATGGATGATGGATGGATGGATGATGGATGGATGAGGGATGGATGGATGGATGGATGATGGATGGATGGATGATGGATGGATGAGGGATGGATGGATGGATGGATGATGGATGGATGGATGATGGATGGATGAGGGATGGATGGATGGATGGATGATGGATGGATGGATGGATAGATGGCATCCATGGATGGATGATGGATGGAATCCATGGATGGATGGACAGACAGACAGATGGAAGCCCCAGCTGCACTCCTGGGGTGCGGGGTGACCTCTGCTGTTCCCATCATCTGTGAAAGGCCATAAATGTCTTTTCCAAAGGCTCCCATTGGCGCTGATGGTTTTCCCTTCTCCCTGATGGATGGGGAGGATCAGAGCAATCACGGCTGGGATTTTTCCAAAGGAAAATGGGATTCACATCTGCCTGAGCACCGCCGGCAGCAGGTGAGGAACGCTGGAGCTGCAGGGCCCCAAACGAGGGGCGAGCATTAAACTTTTTGTTGTCTCTGGCATTTTAATGACTCCTGGAGCTCTTCCTTTCCCTGTGGGAGGTCTCCCTGCCTGCAAGAAAATCCCTTTGCTGATGTTTATTCCTTCCCCAATCCACAAACAGAGCCCGTGGCCACCGAGGCAGAGCCACGGCTTTTTCCCGGGATGTGGATGTTTTCAGCGTGGGGATAACGCTGTGGAATTTATTTTAACGTAATAAATTGATTAACACAAATTTCGGAGCCCGCGAGCAGACAGAGCTCCGGCTGTGGCCAAGCACCGAGCTGAGCTCGGAGCAGGTTTCCCTGACGTGGAGCCAAATTCCCGGCTGGATTTCAGGCTGGGTTTAGCGGACACGCACCGGGGCAGCGGCACAAGCCCCGCTTGGGATTTTGAAGCTGGCGGGGGAATTTCCGTGGATTTCCCCAGCGGAGAAAGCCGTGGGTGCTGCCACAATAGAGGATCCTTATCAGCGGATTCCAGCGGGCTCCGCTCCGCTCCCCTTGGCATTTCCATGAGAATGGGAAAGGTTTCCTGAGCCCGTCTGGAACAAACATCGCTGGGGACAGGAATTTATCCGGCACCAAGAGAAAGGGAAGCTCCTCGCGGCCTTTCCTGGCGGGGGAAACCTGGGGAGAAGCATCCGAGAAATCCACAGGGATGTCAAGGACAGCGACAGCGACAGCGACACTTTCCCTCAGGCCGGTGCGATCCCTTTGTTCACCGCAGCCCGGGAGGTTGGAGCCTCCCCTCCTCGGCTCTGCCGCAATTCCCGGGCCGTGCCCGGACAGGATCCTGTTTTTGACTCCGAAATTGCTGCGGTTCGGTTCAGCTCGGCTCCTCTCCTCTCTCTTTATCCTCCCCGCGGCCCGCGGAAAGTGCTCAGTAAATAATTCATTGCCGCAATTCATTATCGCCGCTCATTATCGCCCTGCTCGATCACAATCCATTATCACAATTCATTATCGCAATTGCTGCTGCCCAGGATCGGACTCGGATGTCCCGGGCTGATTTTAAAACGAGGAGAGAGGTTTGTCCCTGGTTTGTTGAGCTCGGGGAGAGGTTGGAGGTGGGAAGGAGCAGCCTGGAGCTGCTGTGAAGAGCGGAGGCGCCGCGTGGCCATAAAAATCAGTGACAGTGGCAGGGGACGAGACCTGGGTGTCTTAATTATATAAAAATGAGATTTAATGAGTGTGGGACCGCGCTGGGAGCGTGGGGAGCGCTTTGGTGCGAGGCTGTGCCCGTGACTTGTGGATTCACCTTCCCTGAGGGACATCCGCGCTCACCCTGGTGACAGAACCAGCCAGGGGAAGGTGCCAGCTAGCTGGGTCTCTCCTGGCACCGAGGTGCAGCGAGCTCCGTCCCGTGTCACCTCCGTGTCACCCCCGTGTCAACCTCCGTGTCACCTCGCGGCCCGCCGAGAGGAGCCGGCGCTGGGTTAAATCATCCCTGGCAGGGGTTTGGGACCTCCCGCTCTGCCCGGGGCTGCGGGGAGCGGTGGGAAAATCCAGGTGTGGATGAGTAATCCCGCAGTTATCTCCCTCTGCCATCCAGCCCGGCTGTCCTCACACCCGCCCGAGCCGGGCAAGCGCCTTTGTTTGGGCTGTTCTGGGAAATAATCGCATTCTTTTAATATCACCGAAGGGAGATTTCCCGCAGGGAGACCACACGGGGAGAAAGTGCTGCTGAGGGAGCCGGGAATGGCCGTCTGGAGCCTCGGCAGGTTCCCCACCCCGGCTCCAGGCCTGGAGAACATTCCCGTTCCTCCCTCCCAGGCTGTGTGTCCGGGAGGGCAAAGGGTGGCTCTGTGTAGAGCGTGGACAGGCTGCACTCCCCAGGCCTCTCCTCTCCCTGATTTTGCCCCAAATGCCGGTTTTTTCCTGGCTTTGGGTGCATTAGGACAGTAAATCACCCCTGGCTCTGGAATTTTCTCCACATTATGGAATTATAGAATGGCTTGGAAGGAACCTTAAACATCACCCAGAGCCACCTCTGGATGGGCAGGGCCAGCTTTCCCTATCCCAGGCTGCTCCAAGCCCAGTCCAGCCTGGCCTTGGACATTTCCAGGGATCCAGGCTGCAGCTCTGGGCACCCTGTGCCAGGGCTTCCCCTCCCTCACAGGAGGAATTTCATCCCAATATCCCATCTAGCCCTGCCCTCTGGCACTGTGGAGCCATTCCCCCTTGTCCAGGAACTCCAGGCTCTTCTCTGGCCCCTCTGGCCCTCCCAGCGCTCCGGGCCTGCGTCTCTTCCCAACCTTTGGGTGAGAATCTCACCCTTCACTGGGAAATTCCCATCTCCCTCCAGCCTGGAACCACCCGCGTTCTCCCCTTTGTCCCGCGTCTCTCTCCCTTATCCCTGAATTCCCTCTGCTCTCTGTCCCCACACCCCCTCCCTTACCCAAATTTTTGGGTGCCTCCAGATGCTGCTCCCTGGATCTCTCCCCCCATTTCCCCACTCCCAGCGCTGCCCGTGGGGTCTCCCCGCTCCCGGCCCCCCATCCCCATCCCCGCTCCCGGCCTCGCTCCCATCCCCGCTCCCATCCCCATCCCCATCCCCATCCCCATCCCCATCCCCATCCCCATCCCCGCTCCCATCCCCATCCCCATCCCCGTTCCCGGCCCCGTTCCCGGCCCCGGGCGGGGCCCCGGCAGCCGCCAATGGGCGCGGGGGGGCGCGGCCGCCGGGGCCGCCGCATTTATCGGCCGGGCCGGGCCGGGACGCGCCGGGCGGCGGCGGAGCCGGAGCCGGGATCGGGATGGAGCGAGCGGCAGGGCCCGGAACCGGCACCGGTTCTGCGCTGGCCGCCTCACTGGCCGAGGGGCTGATCAAATCGCCGCGGCCGCTGATGAAGAAGCAGGCGGTCAAGCGACACCACCACAAGCACAACCTCAAGCACCGCTACGAGTTCCTGGAAACGCTGGGCAAAGGCACCTACGGGAAGGTGAAGAAAGCCCGGGAGCGCTCCGGGAAGCTGGTAAGGATCCCCATGGAGGGGCATGGTCACCGTGAGGGGTCTCCGAGCATCCTCCTGTCCCCGGTGCGTCCGTCCCCTCTGAATCCCCCCGGTGCGGCGCGTCCCTCCCCGTCCCCGCTGCATCCCCGCCGTCTTTCGGCTGTCCCTGAGCCCCCCTGCTTCCCGCAGCCCGGTCCCGGTGCTTCCCCCTCCGGTGCTCCCCCTTCCAGCCCGTGCCCAGCCCATCCTCACGGACCCCCGAGCACCCCCACTCCGAGCATCTCGTTCCCGGTGGCTCCCCCCGGCCGGGTCCCGGTGGCTCCCCCCGGCCGGGTCCCGGTGGCTCCCCCCGGCCGGGTCGCGGTGCCTCCCCCGGTTCTCCGCAGCCCTGGCCGGGCCCCGCTCCCCCCGCAGCGTGCGGGAGGCTGCGGCTCTGCCCGCTCCGGGCTCAGCGGGGCCGGGGGCTGCCCGGGGGGGTCTCGCCCCCTCCTCCCGGGGGGCCGCAGCTCCTCTCGCCCACTTGACCGCGGCGGTGCTTCCTGCGGGAAGGAGCGGGCAGGGACGCGGCCGCCAAAGCAAACACCGCACTTGAGTCTGAAGGGTTTTTCCCTTCCTCTCACCCTGGTTTTCACACGGTGTGGGGCACCCAGGGCGCAGCCGAGCTTTCCAAAATCCTGACTCACCCCAGCCTGCGGGGGAAAGTGGCTCTGGCTCAGCCCAGCCCGGCTCTGCTCAGGGAAAAGGGGATTGAACCCCCCTCAGTGCTGCTCTGTCCTGTGGGAATCTGCAAGGATTCCACCTTAGACGTGAATTCCCAGCCTCGAGGGGTGGCAGGGACACAAAAATCCCCTCTGAGCCCGGCCTGAGCAGGGTTTGACCCGCGAGTGGAAGGACTGGCCCTGCCAGGGGCTGAGCAGGGCGTGGGATCCGCGACACCCACGGGGACAGGCCGGGGGGAAAAGCCGCGGATCCGCGAGGTTCCCTCGTGTAATCTCGGTGAAATCAGATCCCAGGGCAGCTCTGCCCTTGCCCCCAGCCCGTCCGAGCCGCTGCTTTGCTGCACGATCAGGGCCTGGCCATGCAGCTCCCACCCCCAGAACTGCGAGGATTCCTCCCCTCGGCACGGGAGAGAAAATCCCCCTTTCCCTGCCCGCACCTGCAGCTCCGAAATCTCAATTTTCTACCCCAAAACTCTGTGGAATCCCCTCAGGACGGGCTCGGGCACCGCTTTATTTTCATGCAAATTCAACCCACGGAGCCCTCAATGGACGCGGCAGAAAATCAAAGGCTCTGCTCAGCAGCACCTCCCCGGGAACAGGAGACTCAAACCCACAAATCTCTCCTCTTCCCACAAATTCTTTCTGGGAGCACTCAGCTTTTCCGGGGCTGTTTAATCCGGAGCTTTATCCCCAGCTCGGCTCTTGTTTGCTCCTTCCCTAAGTGGTTTTCACTTCCCAAAGCCACCGGCCACCCCTCGTGGGGATCCCACGGCACCGGCTCGGGCTGAAAAGCTGGAGCTGCTCCATCCACAGGGATTTTTGCCTCTGGCGAATCGGGAATTGCCTCTGACAGAGGCGCTGGGGTGTTGAACCATCTCGTTTTACCGCCCGGATTTCTGGTTCCTCTCTGAATTTTAAAATACCTGCACTCAGAGCAGGCCGATTCGCTTGGAAGGTGACAGGAAATTCCAGGCTCCCGCAGCTGGTTTGGGACTTCCATGAATTATTTGTCTGGGAAAAAATCCCTTCTTTTTTTTTTTTTTTTCCTTATTAGAAATTCTACTATTAATTTATTATAAATATTATTATTTATTATAAATTATTTCTTTATCTGAAGTGATGCTCCTGCTGAATGCCTTTCCAAATCCATACAAAAATCCCAGAAATATCAGGAGCTGCTGGATATTGTCCCCTTCTTTTTTCCCCCCTTCCCTTTCTATTTCCCCCCTCCTTCCTTTTCTGTTTTTTTCCCCTTTTCCCTTTCATTTTTTCCCCCTTCCCTTTCATTTTTTTCCCCCTTTCCCTTTCATTTTCCCCCCTTCCTATTCTGCTTTTTTTCCCCCTTTCCCTTTCCTTTTTTTCCCCCTTTCCCTTTCCTTTTTTTCCCCCTTTCCCTTTCCTTTTTTTCCCCCTTTCCCTTTCCTTTTTTTCCCCCTTTCCCTTTCCTTTTTTTCCTCCCTTCCCTTTCCTTTTTTTCCTCCCTTCCCTTTCCTTTTTTCCCCCCTTTCCCTTTCTATTTTCCCCCTTTTCCCTTTCATTTTTTCCCCCTTTTCCTTTCATTTTCCCCCCCTTCCTAATCTGTTTTTTCCCCCTTTCCCTTTCTTTTTTTCCCCTTTTCCCTTTCTATTTTTCCCCTTTTCCCTTTCATTTTCCCCCTTCCTATTCTGTTTTTTTCCCCCCTTCCCTTTCTATTTTTCCCCCCTTCCCTTTCTATTTTTTCCCCCTTTCCCTTTTTATTCCCCCCTTTTTTCCCCACCTGTTTTCAGGGCAGCCTCGGGGCTCCTTCTTTTCCTCCCATCCTGGAATTTTTGCCAGCCTGGCTCCGTCTCCCTGGCCCGCAGCCAAGGGGGAGCTCCCATGGGATTCTCCTCGGTGTCACCGACGCGATTTGGGGCCCGAGTTCTGCCGGGAGAAAGCAGCACCTGGAATATTCCAGAACCTCTTTTTTTTTTATTATTATTATTCCTGCTCTGCTCCTGGGTGGATTTAAATCCACATTTCACGGAGCACCGAGTCTGGAGCAGCTTCTGAAGCGCTGCCTGGGGTTGTAGCTTCATACATCTTTCAGCAGCTGCTGAAAATACCGGTTCTACCCCCAAAAAAATTGTAATTAAAAGCCTTTTTTTTTGACTTGGAAAGCACTCCCGAGCTCCCTGGGTTCCCGGAGGGATTTCCTGGATGTTTCACTGCAGGGGATTCTCCTGGCGGGGATGTGGCACTGCCTGTCCCCAGCTCCAGGGTGGCCTTTCCCATCTCCAGGGAACACCCTCTGCTCCCATCCCTCTTGGGCAGGGAAAGTTCGGGAACAAAGCCGCTGCTTGGCACCCCTGGATGGCTCCACCTGCCTGGAGGTCACTAATTTTGGGATCACCGTGAGGATCCAGCGCTGCTGGATACAGCCAGGGGCATCTCCTGGAGCTGCCTCATCTTTTTACGGATTGTGGCTCACAATTTTGAGGGTGTGAACCTCTGGGGAAGAATAAAAAAACTCAAAAACGCTCCGAATTTTTGGCCCCAAAATGCTGAGGCTTTGCAGGGGGCAGGGATGGAGGGAGGCAGCAGGAATTTGGGAGGCTGGCTTGGCTGCAGGAGGCTCAGGTAACCGTGGCAGCAGCAAAAAAGAAATTGTTTAAAATTTAACCTGTTAAACAAAGGTCAGGAGAAAGAAAAGCTGGCTGGGTTTCCCAGAAGTGTGAAACACTTTCCGTATTGCTTTCTCCAGAAACTTGGGTTATTGAACTTCCCCTGGCCAGAGTCCATTGGCTCCCACAGCTGCTGGATCCTCCAGGAGCAATTCCCACCCTGGCTGGTGCTGCCTGAGGTGGTTCTGTGCCATGAGAAATGGGGTTTGGGGCCAGAAAAATGGGATTTGGGGCCAGAAAAATGGGATTTGGGGCCAGAAAAATGGGGTTTGGGGCCAGAAAAATGGGGTTTGGG